AAGTCTAAGTCTAAGACAATGAACTCACTTCTTGAGCTCCTGCTCCAGTCGCTCTATGGTCTTCCTGCAGGAGTTAAGCTGACCCTCCAGGTAGCTCACCTGTGTTCAGGAGGGAATTTGGTCAGCATGACAGAAAGTTAAAATTATAAAGATTAATTTCCAAAAACTTTAACCGTGGCTTCATTTTGCATCACAGTGGTTCAATGTGTCCACTGGACAGCTCTGTAATACAGCACTACACTGAGCTGCTCTCCAATTACAGTTACTGCTGTGTAACATTACAGTTATAATAAAAAAATGTTAAAAACACATTGTTGAGTTAAATATATATTGATTCAAGAACATCTGTGAAATATGTTCAGCTCTTAAATATCGGTGAAGTGGTAACTTTGTCCTCTGGTACCGAATGAATTTCAAATGAAACAGCAAACTACAGAAGATATATATATTGATTATTACCTGCTGCTCTTTGACTCCGAGGTCATGGCTGACCTTTTGACGGGCTTTCTCCAGAGAGTCACATGACTCTACTAAAGACTGGTTCTCTCTTTTCAAAGCAGAGGTCTCAGTACGATCACTGTCCGCCTGGAGAAACAGAAACACAGTTAGGTCCACTTCTGTTAGATCAGTCATTTCCACAAGAAATTCAATCTGGTTTCTACACTCATTGGACTTCCAATCCATTCCTGCTGAACACTGACCTTTTGTTTCTGTTTTTGCAGGGCAGCCTCTATGGAGTCGAGCTGAAACTGTTTCTGGGACCTTTCCTTCTTCAGCTTGTCCAGCTGGACCTCCATCTCCTGGATCTTCTGCAGGGCTTTCCCTGGAAGTCCATCCTTCCACTCCTCCACCGCCCAGCTCATGGTTTATAACCTAAACAACAGACAACTTCCTTAAATCATACTGATCTGCTCATTAATAACACAGATAAGTAACAGGTAACAAGGTCCTCTTTTTAAGTTAATGGCCGTGTGATGAAAACAAATGTTTTAGTCCTGACAAGAATTCAACAATGAGCAGGGAGAGTTCAGTGTGTCTATTAACGCTGTATCTATGTGTAAATCACCTCCCTGTTTTCCTTCAGTCACTAATACCAAACACACTGTTAACAGTAACAAGTTAGTGGTATCTAAATTAATTAGTTAACTAACGTTAATAGTAAAAAAAGGACAATAACAATAAAGATATGCTTACTTAGCCTGACGTTATTTGTAAAGAGATGGTCACGTTATTGGAAACGATTAATTAAGTTATCTAACGTTAGTTTAATACAAATGTGTATGACAGTAATAATAATAACAATAACAATAATAATAATAACAATAATAATAACAACCATATATTTATCTTTTAACACATATGAGCTTACTAAGTTACACCTAGCTAACCGTAGCTAACATAACGTCGGCTAATGTTGCCGCATTAGTTTTAATACTATTATTATGTTATTTAACTAACTTACAGTGAACTACCGCTATCTAAACACATATCTGAATTATTAATGAAGTTCATTTGAAGCAAAACGTAACGTTAAACGCACAACGTCAACCTAACGTCAACCTAACGTTAGCTGTTCGCTACTTTTGACTTTACACAGAAATCCACCAATAAACGGCTGCAACTGACAAAAGATACCGTGAAACGACACATGTGCTACCGTTAACTGAAGGCTCAAATGAATCTAACGGGAGTTAAGACACCAGATAAGCTGCACTTACTTTGGGCGCGATGCTCCGTTATTATCACAAACACTGTTTGAGTCGTTCTCGTTAGAAAATTCAAACTCCACCGAGGAAACCGCAATTCACTCAGCGGCATGCTGATTGGCTGCTCCATGTGACGTCAGTCGCACACGATTGGTCCATTTGTGTTCATTTCTCAACAGCGCCACCGTGCGGCGTGACTTAGTTAATACCCTTTGACATACTGGTCTTACCCAGAGCCATTAAGATATAATCTATATAATAGTATAATTATATCTTAATGGCTCTGGTCTTACCCACTCATGTGTTTACCCAAAACTGATGTAATCACAGTTAAACAAACAGGACAAAACCCATGAACCATGTCTGAGGCTGCATTTCACATTGTAACTAAAATATTCTTAAAAGGCTCAGCTAAAACATATTCAAGATTTGCACAGCTAACTGAAGAAAAGGGCTGTTATTTTAATCATAAGGTGGTCTGCCTGGTATGATGATACAGTACTTATCAGTTCACTGGATTTAAACCGTCTGGTTTATAATTGAAATAATTGGTAGGAAAGGGATAGGAGATAATGATGTCGCTTGAACAAAATGACTGTACTGAACTACTGCTTCCAGGTTTAGATTAACAAAGCACAGGTTGACAGGTTTGACTCTCAATAATAAAAAAACAAGTAGGCTTTTAGGGGTAAAATATTTAACTATGGCAATAGCACCGAGGTTTGGGGGACCAGGCTTATTATGATCACACTAGACCCTGCTGTGACCACTACTGTGAAAACACCATTGAGCTTGTCTGCTGACCTTTTTTGACAATGCGATCAGAAAAGTTTGTGACGGACCACTAAAAAATGTCTGATAAGAAATTGCAGGTGCAACAAAATGTATGAATATTTCAATTGTTGTAAATATTAGCATTTTATCTGTCTCACATCTTAGAGGTTTTGTTGTGCTATATGTGACAGTTAAATAAATAAATAGTGTTTTTAATATAGTAATAAAAGTAATGTAAAAAAAAAAATAGTACATATAGCAAGGCAAGTGTCATACTGTCATTTATTGAGTTCCACTGACGTTACAGAAAGAATCAGAGGCTCAGATTTTAGTTTTGCATTCCAATAAAATAACATTCATGCCTAACAAAAAAAGTTAATTACAGAAATGGCAGAAAACATCTGGGTGACCTTTCATCTGTTTTTATACGTGCAGCATGAATATGGATTTATCTGTTTTAACCCTTCTGCCACAGGCTTTATCTTTCATGAGATCACAGAAAAAGAAAACAAATCATATGCATGTTCTTAGAGTCCAGACAGAAATCACATAAAGTGCTCAAATCTGGCAAAGAGAGGGTTTAATGATTTTTAGCTTGTGCAAACCAGACTTCAAACCCTCTTTTCATTGTGTCCTTCCTTTGTAAAAACATACATACACAAAAATAAATATGTGGAAGAGAGTTGCTGATTGTTGCTTTTGGATTACCTATGCAAAGCTGTAAGGCAGGCACCTTCTAGATGCATTTTTGCAGGTGATAAAAAGAGTCACCTATGCAGGAGTTGCTACAAATATGACCACAGGCGACTCAACAGGCTATTTCAAACCCTCAGTAACCCACATTTATGTGGTGCATAAAATTGCATTCATAGTGAAAGAGGGAGAAGCTACAGGAACTAAAGGAATTATATCTGTAACTTTAGTTCCACTGGCGATGCGAGGTTATGCCAACTGTCCACTAACATAAACTGATAAAAATGAAACAAAATGTGCTTACAAGTTTGCCATTTTGACATCATTTTGTCACAAAAATGTACAAAGTCTTAGTGCAACAAGAATCCTTAAATAAGGCCCAGGTGATGATATTTGCATTTCCTTAACTTTCCACTTTCTAAAGCTTCGTTCATACACTGCATGCTTACTCTTAAGATTGAAAAGAGCAACAACAGACAACAAGTTCAGTCACCTTTAACGTGGTCTTTCTACATAATAATTTAGTCTTCAGCAGAGAAAAAACTAGTTTTACAACCTGCAACTGCTCCTCCTCATACTCATGATTTCAGGGTCATTTAAATCACACACAGGTAACATTCCATCACTTATCACCAACCATGCAGTCAACACAACCTAATGTATCACTGAGACACATTTTATGAGTTTTGAATACCCAGTCCTGCTCAAGGTAATACTGACGTCAAGTTTCCATGTTGGTACAATTTGTTACATATTATGGTTAGTTTCTGTTTAGCTTAATAGTCTGTAAAAATGAACTAAACCCTTTTAAAAAATATTTCATTAATTCTTGTTGACTATAAAATTAAAAGTGTGTGGAGAGGATAATATTTGTTATCTTCATCACTTGTATGTAAAAGTTGAATCATACCAAGTTACTGTATGGTTGCATACCCACTGCTGCTAACGTGATTTAATTCCCAGGGTAATGACGATCTGGATTCATGATGCTTCAAAGAAATCACTTAAAAAAAAAAAAAATAAAAAAAAAAGTACAATAATGTATCTCTTGACAAAAGGCAACAAAAGCTACAGTGTTGCGCCTTTTTTCCTGAGAGCAAGAGGGGCTCTGATCCAGGATCGTTGGTTATGTCATAGAACCAATGTCTTCACTTTGACTAAAGAGGCAAACTGGTCTCAGATCAGCACCCCTGTTTAAGGATACACTGTGAATAGAGAATTATAGCTGGTTCCTTGTCAGTTAAACCCGTGGGCCTTTTGGTCAACAAGCCTCGAATGAAAAACTAAACAAAAGACACAACACAAACAATAAAACATGCAACACTTTTTCCAGTTCTTTAAAAACAAGCAAAACATACTGTAAAACGAGCTAATCCAAAACACTAGTTATTCATTCAGGAATAGTTCTTTGCATTCTCTTCTCTGTTGCATGGTCAATCATCATTTTTTTTCACAGTTTAAAGAAACTCTGTTGCTGAATATTTGATAGAATTAAAATGCATCGGCTGTAAATAAGTAGTAATGCCCACCATAAGAACTACTCACCAGTTTGTACAGAAGTTCAAGTCACTGAACGACTGCTCTGGAGCAAAGCTGTGCAGCTAAAACTGCTGCCAAAGACATAAACAGGGTGGAAACACTGTCTGTTAATGGGTCTACAAAACATGGTGAGCAATTTCAAGAAAGACTCAAGAAAAACAGGGGCGGATATTCACATCAGAAAATGAAGCCGTCACACGAAAGCTTTGTTTCGTCTGAAAGGCAGCATTAAAGTTTTTTTTTCCACTGATGTAATCCCCTTCTTTGAATGACAGTATGGTTGTTGAATGGGTTTAATGAGCTTCAGCACAAATAAATCAACATTTTCAAATGAGGTTCAAGGTTAGAACTGAGAGTGTTTCAGAGGATTTTTTCACTCCAACCATTTAAAACTTAATTTGTCATTTGTTTCTAACTGAAGTAGCTGCAGATACAAAACATGGTCATCCTCAGCCAAAATTTGTTGACGGTAGACAAGTAAAAAAAGAAAAGAAAAGACCCTGTCTAAAGACAGGGATGGGAAAGAAAGAGTGGGCGGCGGAAAATGGAGAGGTATAAGATGCACGACATGCAGCTGTGAATTTTGTTGCTTTAAGAGAGGTTCCTCACTCCAGTGCCTCTCTGTAATCTGTTTGCTCCTCCTCATTTACTTCTGCTCCTCGATCTCTCGTTTGACTTCTGCTACATAATGGTGATCTTTCCCATGAGCCACCTCCATGATTGCAAGTGCCTGGAGACAGAAAAAAAAAAAAACACAATGTAAATGTATGAAGTGGTTAACACACAAATTGCTCTTCAGATCAAGGTTGGCTAACCTCATTTCTCTACTTAATTAGTTATTCTGACTGCAGTTATCTTTTACAGCTCACTTATCTTCTGCTATCTTCTGTCCTCCCCCTCTCTAAAGCCTGCAGTATTTTCTACCTTCACTTTGCCACCTATTAATAGACCAACAGACCAGATGTCTGTAAATGTACCTTCTTCAGAGCTTTGACTCCTTGTGTCTTCTTCTCCAGGCCCAAATACAGACGTCCCAGTTTCAGATACATGGACGCCACATTTAGAGAGTAGGCTGGGTAGTGAACACTGCAGACAGGATATAATTTATACATCAAGTTAGTCAGTGAATGCGAGCTATAATCTATAATAAATGTTACATTTGGTTTTGTTGGAGTGCTACAAAGGTTTAAAATGTATCAAAGGTGGGAGAGTACAACAGTAAAAGATACAGTAGCTGTGAGTGAGTGTTGCATACCACAGAGGAAAATATGTTTAGCATTATCAAGTATAAATATAACGTGTTGTAGTGTATATATTGTAGGTAGGACAAAGACCAATTCACAGGAAAATATGTTATACTGCTTTTTTGAGGTAGAGGTAGTATGAGGTCAATAAAACTTTATTATAAGCTACAAAGTAAAGTCATAACATTAAAAAATTAAAGAAATTCAAATCCTCATTCTTACAAGAACTTTGGCTTAAAATCGTAGAGGTCTGGAGAAAGTCTCATTACAAAACTGAGGTGAAGGGTGAGAACCAGATCATCAAAACCCCCACAAAATATACCTCTACATAGTTTCCTGTTCAAGTGTGTACAAGTTCCCGCGAAGTAATTTTAATGGTTCGAAGTGTAAAGACAGCCTCTGCAAATTTGTTAAAATGTATTACAATTGCATTACAGCCTCCCTTACGGATCAGTTTACCTGTATGGGTGAATGATCTTCTCTCCGTAGCTCATAGCTCCGTCCCAGTCCTGCATGTAGAGACAGACTCCCATGGCCTGATACATCATATGCAGCATGTAGACGTTGGTGTCTGCAAATATGGCTCCCATCTTCTCCAGACTAAGCTCACACATCTCCAGCAGCTCACTAGGGGGTGCCAGAGAGTCAAGGAATAATGACACAAACATTGCAGAGAAAGAGTGGAGGCTGGGAAGTTAAAGGGTGTCCTTGATAAAGAAAAAGACAGTTTTACAGAGTGAGAAGGGGAAGGCTTTAGTTTAGAGAAAATGGAAACAAGAAAGTGAAAAAGGAATACAGTTATAACCAGAAGAGGATATTCTTGTAGTGTTTGGCTCTCCTAAACTCCTCAATGACATTTTTGGCGTAACGGACCATGGATCGGATTTCCTCTGGCTCTGGCGGAGAATTCAGCTTCCTGATCTCCATTTTTTCTTTATCCTAGAAAGAGACAGAACACTATTACATACAGTCGGAAACAAATGTCAAGTAACATATTATATACATTATTATTATTATTATACATACATTATGTAAAAATAGCAACAGTACAACAGAGACTTCACTAAAACAGTTTCATACTACTGTTTAATAATCATATTTTCAGGAAAAAAAAATGTTTGTTTCACATTGTTTCAATGGTACCTTAGACTTGGAGGTGCACTCAGTACACTGGCATGTGAAGAAGTAGGAATCTAACAACCTCTCTCTCCTGTCCTCTGTTGGATAGAGCAGGTCTATGTAACTGTTAAAGATCTACAGGGAGAGAGAGAGGGAGATGAAAAACATAAAATCATAACCCTTTTCCACCAATCAAGATAAAGACTGTATTTCTTCAGGATTGTATGTGGTCTGAAAATTTCCGTCAATGTGAAGCAACTTTGTTGCCAGTGTTTACGTACCTCGTCTCCAGGGTTTATCTCTTGGACAGCTCTGACCTCAGCCACTGTGCCTTTATAGGTCACTATGACATTAGGACTACAGCTGTGATTCATTAGTGCTACACTAGAAGGAAGAAAGGAAAAGCACAAAATCTAAACAAACAATTGTGAAATCAGAGAATTGTATTGTATATGAATTAGTGCTACAATACTGGCTCCACATGAGGGTTTATGTTTATGCTACAGTGAGTATAAAAAAGAGAAAAAGACTAAAATCAGAATCAGCTGAGAAATATACAGATTGAAAAAACACAGTGAGGAGGAGACAGATTTATTCTGTAACATGATGACAAATACTTTCCTTTTAAAATTTACCAGTCGTGAAACACAATGAATGGAAGGACTGTTGAAGATGTGCTGACATGGACTACTTACTCAGGAAAAACAGCTGATCCCAGATGGGAGAGCTCTTCATCCTCTATGGTAAAACCATTACAGTTAACCTGGAGACACAAAGACAAAAACAGGAGAGGGAGGGAGGGAGGGACAGGGCAAGAAAGAAAGAAGGGGGGATGCAAACAAACAGGTGGAGACAGAACAGCAGGGTGAGTAATATGATAATACAACTTGCCTCACCATCTACTCACTTGTGGTGTAACAACCCCTCCACCGAGGAGGAAATCTAGTAGTAGGAGATTAAATGTAGCTGTGAGATAAGAAGCCAAATAGCTTGTTGGTGTAGCGTGGAGAGAAAGCAGCCAGCACCACTGACAGACAGATCAAATTAAAGAGCTAAACGCTGTGGAGTTAAATGGACAGGACCGGCGGGTGTGTGTGACACAGATCTTGGTTTCACCCATTGACAGTATATATAAGGTTTCACCTCAACATGTGCCCCAGTGTGTATAACCTGTGTGATAACAACTGCTGGACAACTGGATGATGTGAGCGGTGTTACAGTAGTGTGCACATATAAACATACTATAACATACTATATTTGTGTGTCTACATGTTGTGTGTGTGTGTGTGTGTGTGTATGTGTAGAAAGGTCAACACCTGTCTATGTGTCAGCCAAAACCTCTGACCAATCACAAGACGGTAAGAAAACACATCCAAACTCCTGGATAGTTCCAGGAACAGAAAGTTTCTAATGAGTGGATTTCTAGCAAGAGTATCAGAAACTAAAAGGGTTATTTATAAGGGGATCTCTATTAGACGCAGGCATTGTGTATACTTTTGTTCTACAGAGTGACTTTAAAACGTACAACCAAAGAAACTTCCTATGATCCAAGAAAACTTTTGGAAGTCAGTTTTACCTGTGCAAAGAGCTCAGTGAGAGCCTGCTCGTCAGGGAGGTCACTGATGTGTTTGGAGTAGAAGTGGTGCAGTGCTGCTATGTCTGTCTGGTTCATCTCCTCCTTCTCGCTGTCCATCTTATCTAAATCTGGAAAAGGCAGTAAAAGAACATGAGACCAAAAAAATTGAGAGAGGAAGACAAAGAAAGAAAGAAAGAGCAACATATACCAAAAAAGACATGGAGAGAAGGTCAATAACATAAACTAGAGATGTTTGAATGGTGATGGCAATCCTGTCAAATTCTGCTAAAAGTTCTGTGCATAGTGCGTCCATACAAACGTACTAACAGCTTAGTTGTTTCTGAGAGAAAAAGACAGTATTGGACTGGTATCAGTAGATGCTTATGGTTGTGTTTGTTTTGCTCCAAGCAGCACTTTGGTACTGTGAGGTGTAATGAACTTTATTGGGCCACTAACTAGAATTTAGACCTTTAATCTAACAAGTTTGGGACAGTTCTTCCATTTTACAAAAGAGGGATTACCAAAGGGAACACCTACACTAGGATCCACCTAGAATCTGTATGTAGTCTGAATATTGCCATGTCTGGAGAAAAGGGATAAATAAAAAGGTAAGTGATAAAGATAAAGGATTAAATATAAAGCGGACTATGCATCCAAAATTATATCTGTCTTTTTCTTATTTGTTACCACTATCATAGTAAACACATGGCTCCTTAGTAGAACCACACGGTGTTAAAGAAGTGTATGATATGGCGTTGCTACAGGCCATGTGGCATTGTCAGTCACACAAACTCACACATGCACACAGTCTGGTGGCAGCAGGCAGCAGCTGGCCACTGATTTGCTTTGTGTGCATGAGAGACAGACAGGTGTGAAGGTTAATTCTGTCACAATCCTCTGATGACACATCTGAGCATGCAACAACGGCTAAATGATAATACCAAACGGAGCAGAGAAAACCGTCTGTGGGCGCTTCGATGGACCGCAGTCTTGTTTTTGTGTGTTGACAAATACAAATTATATAAATGATCATTTTACAGTCTATGATAAGGAGTGTTGTCTTTCAGGGCTCAATTTCTATACAGCCTGAATACCACAGTTGAGTTACACTTCATCTAAAAAGCACCATAGAAACAAAAGAGACTATAATAAAACACTATAATAATAATAATAATAATAATAATAATAATAATAATAATAATAATAATCTTCTTCTTCTTACACAACAACATTAAGCTGGACAGAGTTTAGTTTCCTTGCTATGATTATTTTATACAGTCAGTAGCAATCACTCTAAAGTACCTTGCTCAGGGGCACAGTGGCAGTATTTTTAAGGAGGGGAGAGAACATGAAATTACAGCACCCAGCAGCTTGGGATTTAAGTCCCAGTGCTCTGCAGACTTGGAGTGAATGAAAGAGACAGAACCAGGACTGGAGGCTACAGCAGAGGATATTAATAGACACACTGATACAACTGCAGAGGCACAGAAAGATATCTCTCTCTCTCTCTCTATCTCTCTCTCTCACATACACACACACTGCACCATGTAACTAAAACTGCACGCAAATGTAACTAAGCTTACGCGCTCATGTATTGATACACACACACACACATCTACTTACGGGATTCAAACTCTTTGAGCAGTAGCAGCCTTTCTGAAGGGGTGCGCTCTGTTGTGACTCTCTGCAATGTAAAACACATGAGACACATGAGACCATTTTAGACCAAAAACAAAGAAAAATCCCACAAAATAAAATACAAGTTATCCTTCCTATAATCCGTAATTAAAACACTATAACAATACAGCAGCTGCTTAACAACTGTAGCAACAACAGCACTGGCTTCAGGAACTTTGGCGTTCAATGGGTCCAACATGCAAAGCTATTCAAATGGAAGTGGTAAAACTAACCTACCATTGAGCTGGGCCACTTATTTCATTTGACTGTGTTTTTAAAGATTGTTTAAAAGGTTCAACTTTGTGTTGACTTTGGAGCTGGTCATTTAGAGTTCTCCTTGCACTTGTAATGCAAGAAAATCACAAGTAACTAATTACATTATTAATAATATTATAATTACATTACATCCTTTCAGTGCACATTTATAGTAGTTTTTTGCTTTAGTTTACATTTTTATCCATTTCAAGTCTTAGACAGTTCACAGTATTTATTATAAGCTGAGAAGGATGATGTGTGGTGTCTATACCTTTTCTATAGTTCTTATGGTCAACTACTCCTGCATGAACATCCATGTTGTTCTCAATAAAAAAAAAGACATCTCTGAACATTGAAACATTTCTTTTTACCTGTTTCATGATGAGCCTAGCGACCAGTCTGACAGTCTCTGATGGACACCAGTTTTCCCCATAGGCACACATAGCCACACACTCCAGCTTATGCATAGGCCAATCGCCTCTCTGCATTAATACACAAAGAAGACAGAAATAATAACAGTTAGTAACCTTCAATTATTACAGCAAGTAATCCTACTCAACAGGACAATACGATGAAACGACAAACTGAGGGAGAGAGACAAAGAGCAAGACGTTGAGTGTAACAAAAAGAATTCATTAACAAAGTGGACGATAAAAGATTATCACAAAGCTTTTTTTATCCATAACTTATTAGTCAAGGCACTCGGTTGCAGCACACCGAGTGTGTTTTGTGCTATGAAAGTAAAACGAGACAGAGGCAGAGGGAATCGTCATAGCAACAGCAGTGTGAGCGTGTGCTCTCTATGCTTCTCGTTGCCTGCGTGGAGCTTTGCTGAAGTGGTTTTCAAGTTGTGGTCCAAGGTCCCATGGTGGCTCAAAAGAAGTTCCTTCAGGAAAAACTATTCTCATTCTCTTTGTCTTTTTATTTGAGAACAGACAGCACAAATGAGAGCTAAACAGGACTGTATATTATTTATAACTACTGTTGGCATTCACCGTAAAATGTATTCATGGTCAGCTGCTTTAGTTAATTGTGGAAACTGGCAGACTTACTAATGCACAGAAGCTACAAGCCTTCCACGGAAAAGCACAAAAAAAGGGAGAAGAAAGCTTACCTGACAGTCGACATTGCAGTAGTAGGCTTGCTTACATTTGCCACACTTAAAAAGGTCTTCTCTCCTGCAATGACATAAAGACACAGCAAATTCCTGTCACTCCATTGTATTCATTTACATGATACAACTGTCCTGCACCTTCATCTGGGGAGACATCTTTACCTGACACAGGATTAAAATAAAACTTTTTGCTGTCAAAGTTTTTATCCATCAACAGTCAGATACTTGGTATATTCATTGTTAAACTGTTGGTGGTCTTGCAGGTTTGTTTTCGTCCTGTGACAAAAGGTGAGACGCACAAATACGCAACACATGAACTCATTAAACATTAACAGAAGTTACTTGTATGCCAAAACTTGAATATTAATAATAACCGCTTCATATGTACTAGAATAAGAAGTTCTTGTTGACATTTCTACAAACATTTTCATACAATTTTGTAAAACATTGGTGATTAAAGATCCCTATTACAGACCCTCCACCCCCCCTCAATGCACACATGGACCCCTGGCCTTCTCATCTCTTGGGACACATGGACGACTATATTTAGCACCCTAACCTTTTACTGCTCTACAAACCTTAAGGGCAGCTTTGCTAGAACGCACATGTGTGTATGAAAGGGAGTTGGTGAGTGTGTGAGAGGGACACAGTTAATCTAACTCTAAAAAGAGCCTCATGGTGCACCAGATCTCAACAACACTAGAGGGCAAGATAGAGGACTACACCTGGAAAGGAGCAGTGCGCTGCATACACATGTATCACATACACACACCTACACACGTCAGTACTCTCTGAATGTTGTAGGCTGTCCTTTCTAACCACTCCACATCCTACACCGTGAAAACTACCAACGAATGAGTCCAATTCATGTTATAATTCCCTTCAAGTGACTCAAGAGTAAGTTTAAACCCGTGTACAAAGACAGACTATGATATCATGGCTGCAGGTTTTCTGTTTGGATGTTAAGTGCACAGAAGCAGGGGCAGGGTTTGGAGGAATGCACAGAGATGTGTTATAGTGTAGAGCAGAAATAACATTAAGAAAAAGGGCCGACAATTAGTGAAGTGTCCCTTTAACTAAGTAAACCACCTGTGTATGAGACAACAACACCACCACGGGAGAGCGGGCTCTTTTTCTTTCTTTTAACATGCTGGCTTTCATACCAACCCGGTATTGTATGTGAATGCCGCCATCTATTTCAGACACTGCAGTGCTACAAACAAACGCTGCAGTGTCAGTCAGGTGAGCTGCCTCCCCGCACTGACCCATTTAAGTCTGCACAAGCTCGGGAGGTGTCCAGAGGTTTGCAAGCTAACCTAGCTAGGTAATGGGGTTAGCCAGCGTTGAACTGGACACACGGCTGTTCGCTTTGTTCTGCTTTAAGCTGGCCTAAACAAAAACAAACAAACAAACAAAAACAGCAGCTTGACGCTAGCTGTGACAGAGGTGTTTCCCCAGTTGTTTCAGAAAGGTGAGGTGTTACCTGGTGAAGCAGTTCTCACAGTGCGCCCCTCTCTCATTCACTGTCAACACGTAGGAGTAAGACGGACAGGCGAACACCAGCTCCCCCACCGCGAAGTGCCGCACCGCCCGCAGGCCTCTGCCTCTGTCCGGGCTCAGGAACCTCTCGGTTCCCTCTATACCTTCGTTCTTCATGGTTGGTTCTGTCTACGGTTCTCCGGGCTGATACCGCCGACCACCACCTGTGTCTGCTGAGTGCTCTAATCAGCTTCTGCCTGAGCTGCTTCTTCCTCTCCGGTCCTCCTCCTGTGTGTGTCAGGCGTGGCTCTCATCGCCCCCTGGTGGACAGGCGACGACACGGTCAACAGTGTGGTTACTAATGGATGCACACTGATGCACACCTGCCATCATACCTACTCACTGCATGCCTGGTTCTGGTTATATGTCTGCTGTATTGTAATAGTGTCTATGTTGTGATGTTTTCACTGATTGTACACAGTCACACTGTAAATATCTTAACTTAATTGCCGTGTATATCTTAGTGTATTCTCCTCACTCCGTTCATTCTGTTAATACTGTTCATACTGTAAATATCCTTGTTATTACTATTTTACATATTTTTGTACATTGCACATTCTGCACTTTACTGCTTTGCACTTCTGGTTAGATGCTTAACTGCATTTCATTCCCTAGTACCTGTACTTATGCAATGACAATAAGGTTGAATGTAATCTAATCTAATCTAGTTTTCTTGTATAAATTACCAGCATTGCAAGATGCTTGCTTACTTCTCTAAGCGTTTTATCCTGATTCGTCCTGTTCTAATTTAACTCTTGAATTGACTCTAATTTGTTCTTTATTCAATGGTGCCTTGAGTACCCTACATTTATTTATTTGAGGTAGGCTAATTGTACTTTACTTGAGTATTTCCATTTTCTGCTACTTTATACAACCACTCCACTACAATTCAGAAAGAAATATGTACTTTGTTTTTTACTCCACTACATTTATTTGCTCACTTTACTTACTAGTTGCTTTGCACATTCATATTAATAATACAACATATAATTAACAAATAACAGCACAGCTAACAGCACAGTAGTTAAAAGTAATTAAAAAAAAAAGCTGTACCAGCTTTTACATTAATGTGACATCAACATCAAGATGTAGGCCTCTAGCTTGCCTGTTGTCTAAAGTGACCTGTAGTGAAGTGAACTGTAAATAAGCTGCACTGAGAGCTACTGCAAATTGGAGTCAAATTCCTGGTATGTTTAAACATACTTAGACAATAAAGTTGATACTGATTAATAGGAGCTCTGGCCATTAAATATTCATTTATTTAAATTCAGACAGACAGATCTGCAGACCCGTGCAAGATAATAGTCCTATACAGTACACTAAATGGCCAAAATACCATATCATACCTTTATGTAGGCCTATTTTTAGCCTGGGGTTGGTTCTCATGGTTTAGGTTAGACTCCTTTAGTTCTAATTCAGAAAGTCTCAATGCTAATGCTGCATACAAAGGTAGTTCTTCCAACTTTGTGGCAAAAGTTTGAAGAAAGGTCCTCTCCTGTTACAACATTACACAGCCCTCCTGGGTAAAAACCAAGGTTAAAATTTTGATTGTGATTTTATGAGATTAAAGGTATTGCTGGCCCTCACTGAACTCTAACAGCTTCAGGCTGAACTGGAGCACTGACTGTGAGCCAGACCTTATCATCCAACATCAGTGTCCAACCTTAATGCACTTACTGCTGAATGGGAGGAAATCTCTGAAGCCAGGTTCCCAAGTCTTATTGCAGCAGGTGTCCACATGCTTTTGTTTTTAATGTTGAGGAATCACAGAACAACAAAATTCAGTAAAGAAACTTTACATTATACTTTATATACTGTATGTTTGTGTTTGTGTCAGTGCTATTTATGTATCTATCATGATCTTAAACCATCAACCACTGAAGCAGAGCAAAATACTCGACACCGTTTAGTTTATATATATATAAATGCATTTATTTTAAGTTAATCATTTCTCCTCATTCAAAGTTGAATTTCTGCAGTTTCTATAAAACAGGGAACAGTTAGAAGCGCTGTACAGTCAGACAACAAAACTAGGAACCGCGGCTGAGTACACTGTGTATATATGTACATACTGTACACACACTGATGTAGGTATATACAAAAATATACACTTTTACATGTGTGACCCCCTCGTGCCATTTCACCCACCACTGTCATTAAATTAATCCACATCATTACCCCATCAGTTCATGTCCCTTTATATGGATTCATCTTTTATCAGTCATTACTGGTTGATGAGACTCGTACAGTATAGTGTCTTATGTGCATGTTAAGCCTTTCGTGTCCTCACTCATACACACTGTTACTGTGACTCGTAGCAAAAGATGGAGAAGCTTAAGCAGTCCTGAGCTGGATGTCTCAGTGGGGCTTTTCACATATCAGAGAGGGCTCTTCTTCTCTTAATCCCAAGAGGGGATTTGAGGTGGTCTGAAGGGGAAAGACATCCCTCGAGTCAGGACGAATCACGACCTAAGTCTTCTCCCTGTTTAAGTGAAAAGCTGAGAGAGGACGAAGCTTGACCTTTACACCTCCCCTCTTGATGATCCTACTGGCTCAGTGGAGAGGACACTCTCTCTGTTCTCTGTTCACAGATGGCGTTCAGTTAAAGACCCCCCCTTTTTTAATGCTAATAAAGATACCTAAAGATACAAGATTGACAATGTTCTTCCTCTCTTTGAATGATGCTTTTAGCTATTTCCAAAATCTAATACACAAGGGTTGGTTCTGCCTTAACCGATGACTTGCTGACAAATTTAAAGATACCAAAAGGAAACTAATTTTCAGCCTGTGTCCATTATAAGACTGACACCAGCTCAGCAGCTGAGACCCGTCCTCCTCCTGGAGTGTCCTACAGGTCGAACTGAGACTGAGAAGAACAATGTGATAACACAACATACTGTAGGCACCCAACACTGAAATAGTTCTTTGAGACTCATTCTGTATTTCCGAAGACTTTAACCTGTTTTCATTCTTCCTCATTTAGAGATACAGGAAGGAAACTTTGGCACATTGTGCTAAAGATGTAAACATTTAATCATCCAATCAAAATGAAGCGCTGGATTACTTAATTATTACAGTCATTGCCTCTGTGACTAACATAAAAATAATAAAAAATAAAATAGCAATCTTTTCATCTTCACAAGAATAAGACTAGTTTAAAAAAGAAAAGCCTTCAAACAACACATGTAGCAGACAGTACTGCCATGGTCACTCAGATGTGCAGTTTGGTTCTCCTGCCTGTTTCCACCGCCTAGCCTTTTTAATAGGACTGAATCAACAATTTAATAACAACAAAGAGAACCAAAGACAAAGAAAATGTGATTAAGACTGAAATTCTCCAATGGTGTATTTTGCATCAGAAATTTACCATCTTGAGTCCCTTTTTCTTTACTTTTCTGGCTCTCTACTGGTGTGACAATAGAGGGCGCTACACACCACTAAAACAGCATCATGTTACCTTCACGGACGAGGACAAAGGGCCAGATACTTTGACCTCTAGTCTGATGTTCTCACTGATCCCTCATAGTACAACATCAACATTTGATGACAAATGTTAATACTTGAAAATTGCTGTGCTCGTGTTGCACAATTATACCAAATTAGAAGACTACAGCCCCCATTACCAGCTCAAGACCTGACACACTTTCATACAAATAACTGAGATGTAACGGAATATTTAGTTAAAATGATAGTACCTGCACCCACAAACCAAACCCACTACATGTGTGGGAAATTAATTTACAACTTAAATTCCAATAAGTTCTTAAGTATCACATTTACTGTAATGTTTGCAACATTCTTACGAAATTAAGACACAACTGAAAATGTTTCTTCTTTTTGCAGAATGGCCAAAACAAACAAACAATCAAACACTTTTCCAGTATTTAGAGCAAAATCTGCCTCCTGATTAGTATGACATCCAATTAAAGAAAAAGCCCTAAATCAGATTTGGGCCCCTTACGTCTGGTCACTGTGGCAACACAAAGCTCTCCTCACATCTAGGCTCGCCCTCGGGTCTGGCCTCACACCCACGGGTCCTGTGCCTCGCAGCACAATGCAGCATCCTATCAAGTCACAGGATAGGCTTTTCAACCAGCTGCAGTTTCAGCTGACCTTCTTCCACTCTACTTTACAGTTGGATGGGAGTATAAGACAAGGCAAACATCAGGTGCAAGGAACAAAATGGCAGAAAACAAACAAAAGTGATGGAACAGAGGATCGAAAAGTGTCAGACAACACAGCAAACACGACCAGCTGTCTTTGTCACCTTCAGTAACTCAGCAAAACAAAACAAAAGAAATCTAAGAAGCATTTAGTAAGTAAGCAAGTGGATGTGCGTGTTGGAGAAATACAGAGAAACAGAGAGGATATTTGACATTAAAGAACACTTGAGGCTGCAGCTTGGTTATAGAATAAACTAAGAAGTAGGAAATGTGATATTTATAGGCAATTTCTCTTGTACAGTATATCTGTTCAAAGATGTTTTGTGTTAATGTAGTTGCCTTGAAGCTGCCAAGTGATGAGTCGCTCCAACTTTAATTAAAACCAATTTCCCCAAAACAGCACCATCATTACTCATCAGTGACTAACAGCACAGAGGATCATAGCATTTAAGACGACCCTAAAGTTGAAGCCCGGGAGAGACTAGTGCTGCAAAAAGATACACAACAAACCGACACATGTTCTGTAAATGGTTTCAGTAACACTATCAGGTAACAGCAAACTTGATGTGATGTGGCACACACATTAATATGATTCCAGAGAATTTAAAGTAGCTCGCCAAAATAATCAAGAAGCGTTCTCAATTGTATCAGCAGAAAGTGAGCAGCCCTTGCGTGTGCAATCAGGAGAAATCTGCTCACCTCTAGCAGAAACAGAGTGAGGACAAACAGTAAAACCTTGTTTATTGCAGTTTTTAAACTTCTGAGCAGATGGCTCATCTAACAGAAACAAATGTGGATGGAAACACTGCTGAATGAATGTGGGGGCTTGTTGGTCATACATGCAGCTTTTCAGAATGTGCATGCACGTTTCATATAGCTTGACTACAGTCCGGACTTTGGAAACCCCCTTTTTCTTTTTTGCATGACATCTGTTCTCAGGCTGAAATAAGCAAGGTTTTACTTTGTCAACAAAAGGAGGGACTTCTGAGTCACGTGCAAAATGTTAGCCACATGAGAGCACTGCAATAGCAGGCAGGGGTGTGTTCAAAGTATAGAAAAAAACAACTCAATCATGTCTGTTAGCTGATCTGTGTTGTATTATCCTTTTGCAGCCAACACCTGTTCGCTCTAGAGAAAAAGCTGCAACATCAAATCCAGTTTGGGTGTGATTATAAGACAGTAACCTTCCTACAATGTCAATATAGACATAGGCAAAGGAAATGATCTGTGCAGGAAAAGATCTATAAACTGAACCGCACCATAGGGAGCAGTTAGAGAGCAGCGAGAGTATGTGAAGGAAAACTCTTTAAATCGTTCCTCTGAAACACAAAAAAATCTATTTGAAATTTGGTTCCATTTTTTTGACAAAAGTAAACAAAAAAAGAAGGATAAGAGAGTTTTTTTTCTGTGTACTGTTTCTTTAGAGACATAATGGTGCAGAAGTGAAGATGCTGTAGCAGCCAGTGCCACCGCCTGAAGACAAACAGTAAATCCTGAGGGTGGGCTTCAAGACACTTCCTGGTTTCAGGAACTGCACTTCTGGCCAAACCAGTGTCAGGCCCCCCGAACCCCTTTCCCTTCCCCTAAGACACAATCTGTAGGAAAACTGTATAGAAAACAAAGCATAACACATAGCATTCTTCTCTCCACTTCACCTCTCTTTTCTCTGTTGATCCTGTAAACCAATGAGAGAAAACGCTCAAGGAATCGAGTCCATTTCCTCCTTATACATCACCCTACACCAAAACCTCACCAAAACCACGACCTGAAGCCTCCATCTGCCATTACAGACTCCAGTTCGGTGGTTAAAACCAGAGAGAGCACCGGAGAGGAGCAACTACACCAACATCCCATTGTTTTGAGAACAAAAAAAAAAGCTCCTGTGAACCTCCGTGGGAAATTGACAGCAAGAAATAAAAAATATTAATAATAAAATAAAATAATTACAAAGTAAAAACGTCAGAGTTCTAGTTTCACCAGCATTAAAGAAAGTAAAAGAACAGAAAGAATTCACTCGTCATTTGCATCTGGAACCATCAATGAAAAAACACTGAGGTATGTAGTGTGGATGGAAAGCCTCTTCATCGCTTTTATCCTCATCATGATCATCACCATCCATCCTCCAAATACAGTCAGTTTCCTGTCTACTCCATTATAGTCTACAAGCCCCTCCCCACTGGGTGTGGCTCTTTGTTTTATTGGGGAGGGGTGAGGTGGGGGAGAGGTGTATAGACGTGACTGGCTGCACCTCTTGAGGAGGAGGAGTGAGAGGGATCCATTAATCCATCAAGTTCTGTCTTTCTCCTCAAGTCTATTTCCATCTCTTTATCCAGGTCTCAGAGTCTTTTAGTGTCTCTATCCAATATCCAACTCTTCTCAGGGTCTGTAGCGCCCCCTATGATTGTAGATTGAGGGTGAACTTCCACTGTTGGTTGAGGCTCGGGCTGCAGACCTCCACAGTGAGCCCGCCCATCCTGGCACTGCGGCTGTCCAGACAAAGGTTACTGCCCACGTGACGAAGCTTCGAGTTGGACTCGATCTGCTCCCATTTCTGATGAGAGACACAACAATGTTGTGACGTTAACACAACACGTAGTGCGAGAATTATGCATTAAATGTTGCAAATGTCCTTTGATATTTGTTTTAATTTACTAGTGAGAGTGCAGTTCCGGTAAACAAGATATTTCAGCCCAACCAAACAAGGTGTTTTTACCTGTCTGCTGTCATTCTCTCGACAGCCTTGTAGTTTGATGAGGGAACCAGCTGTTCTGTCCACCACAGTCAGACACAAGTCCATATGTTTGACTGATTTATCCTTGGTCAGGGCCCACTCCTTTACAAAAATGGATATAAAAACATTAGTATCAATGTATCCACTGATCATATTGGGCTTAGGAATGTTCTGTGCAAGACATAGTTCAAGTCTTTTTATATGGAGTCTCAATAGCATGTCTTAATTTGATGTTTAATTTCACATGACACAGCTAACATTTCTTTCTTCTTCAATTTTTTTAAACAAAATGTGTAACTTTTAAGTCTACTTACTTATGGAATTAACAGGTTACAATAAACAAAGGATTGGCATTAGATCAGGCTTGAAATATCAAACATCAAATATTCAAACAAAGGACGTCTTCAGGAGCTTAGTTGATCCAGTACGTTTACAAGGAATATTGTCGTTCTATTATGGTTTGTTCTGCGCTGATCGAAAAAACACAACAGCAGCGATAGATAATAGTGGTGGGTGACTTTAATTCAGTATCTGTGTTATATTATCCTGTACTTTACACTATAACTGACACCCACAGGAAGAATTATTAGTGTCTATCAAGACGGGCAGCCTCAAAACATGTTGCCTACAGAGCCGTACTGTCATTTATACATCTAATTAAATAGAGCGTCTTTGTTAGCCAAAGATGCAGTTAACTTCAAGCTGGATGTGGTAAGTTTTACGATATTGTAAAATGACGGGTGCAAAGCAGATGTCTCTAACTCTAAGTGACAACAGCTTTCCAAGTTTTCACCTGTAGTTCTGTTTTTGTAGTAATTAATGAACTGCAGACACAAACACACTGGTACAAGCTTATGCGGACACACACTCACGTTGGGGCTTCAGTATACATGTTGTAGCTGGACTGACATATAGACTACATATTCTATATAGAAAACATATTTTCCCTTTTTTTTTTTTTACTACAGTCTGTGCAACATTTGACCTTTAATAGTCAAATCCTTTAACATACCCACTGTGCTCTCACCGTCAGTGCCACCCAGGTGTCTTCAGAGTAAGTATTTAACAAGCTGACCTGTGTGTGTCGTCGAAGTAACGCTACCTGGTTTCCTCCAGCGTTGTGGCATTCATAGACGCCCACAACCCCGTCAGCAAAATGACCCAGGGTGTCCAGACAGTTTCCTCCCTGCTGCAAGGCTCCAAACGCTATGTCCTGGTGATCCGGGACTCTGAACACACACGCAGTGTTTTTCTTAAACTGTATATTAACTCTACCATGCTTGTATCAAATTTATGTAGTTCTTAAGACTTTATAGTAAATAACATTAAATAGTGGAAAGTATCACTAATGAGGACATTAAGAAGATGAAAGAATCATGTTTTTGTACCATTTGCTTCTGTCAACAGGGCAATATAACCTTTATGTTACTACATCTGAAATGATACATTTTTACATTATCAATCTCATTCATGTGAAAGACAAACTGCAAACCTGCCAAGATTTAATAATGTGCTTGAGCCATAATTGCTAGCATGGGTGAGTCATTAGTGCCACTACAGGCATTTGAGTCTTATTAAAGTATAAAAACCGAAGTCATACTGCTACTCTTACAACCAAGTCCTGTTACTGAGGCTCAGGTGAGACGCTCTCCTACGTGTAATTTAAGTCTTATTGCATAATATTATATGTTGTGGGTCACACTGTGTACCCTATCATATTGCATTAAAACGCTCTAATTTTCTTACCGTAGTTCAGGGTAGACATTCTCCAGGTACCATTTGAATGGCTTGCAGCTTAATCTTTTCTTCATCTCCAAACGACTCTGGATACTGAGAGAGAGAATTAGAGGGTGGATCACTTGTGGCTTTCAAAACGTTTCCTAACATTGATTGAATTATAGCCCTCCTACTCGGCCAGTCTGTGAGGGCACATAGTAACGGCCTAGAGTATGTCTGAGGAGGAATCCTTTAGGGAAAATAACAGCTTAGGTTGGCACTGGAGGGAGATGCTGAGAGTGTTCCCACAAGGTCACATAATAAGCATTTTTAACTTTGTCTGGCTATTCTGTAAGTGTGAGAGTACTTATTGATGTTCAACCTATTCTGAGAAAAGTGTTAATGCGTGAAGCAGCATTCAGCTAGTGCACAAACAAAGTAATAAAAACATGATACCAATAATACAGTTAGGCACCCGAACCAAAGTCATTAAGATTCATCCTCTGGGAACCATGAAAGTCTGTACAAATTGCTGAGACATGACTAAAACTGTCCTCTTTAACCAATGTTTTTTGTGTCCAACATGTTCTTTTTCTTTGGCGTATGCTGTCATAATCTATATTCAGCACATCAAATAACATGGTTTAGGATTTTGCAAATTAGGAACCGACCTTTTGCTCTCTTTTAAGCCACATTAACTTCCTCATATCAATAAAACTGGTAACCAACTTATTTTACAGCTGACACGCTACTAAATGGAAAGCCAATTAATATGACCATTCATGTGGCTGCCTTTGTAATTGTGATGGAGCTACATTAGGCTGTCTAACTCCTGTAGAGCTCACAGTTCATGGCACTTACTTTCCATATGGGACGTTTCTAGCTGAGGGCACAGCAGCGTAGTAGAAGTTTTTATACTCATCCATCCAGACCTCTGCTGCTCTCCTCGTGTTCCTGAGAGAGGGGTGAGAGAAGAAAATTGAGGGAAGACACAGCAACACAGTAATGTCAGATATGTCCTAAAATATGTCCTGTTCCAGGACGTCTAACCTGTAAATGTGTAGGGAAAGCTGCCTTCATTGCTTTTGTCTTGGACACTGGACAAACAACTGGCTATAGTGCTGCATTTAGCCTTTTTTTTTTTTTTTTACAAACAAGCCAGGAAACTGTATGCCTCAGACACGATACATCAACACAGTGAACTTCTGCTCCACTGAATGTCTCAGTTTCAACCCCTAAGGGGTAGTTTTGCCTTTATGAGGTTTCTGCTAGCATATGTCAAGACAATTCCAAAAGCAACACTCATTTACTGGACTAAAAGCCCCAAAACCATCAACACTGGCATCTGACAGGGTTTCTGAGAGTTTAAACAGCTTAAATTTAAGACTTTTCAGACCTTTTCAAAGATAATTATGAATCCATTTAATGCCTGTACAGGCAAAAAAAGTACAAAGGATATGAAGAAAATGTGTTATTGGTTCCATGTCATTTTTTAATAGTTGTTACAGGAATCAATCATTGCACATGTATTTTCATTTTCATTGTGAAACTAGCTTAGCCCTATTCAAAATCTGTATTTCATCCTGATCCACCTGCACTCCAGCAACAGAGACAATGCACACTACAGGGAACTTAATATGAGGTCTAGAGGGGATTTTCTTCACATTTATTGTGTGTTGGCCCTGTCTCCACATGTCCAATATACGTAACTTGGATATTTGGGAAATTCTGTCTCCCAGAACAATTATAAAGCCATCCAAGCAGACAAAACAGGTGCTGTCTCGTAGCTCCCCAGGGTCACCAGCAGCAGACACAGAGAGGGTGTCTGGGGCTTTATTCAGACTGAAGGGCGAGACGCTGAAGCAGCCTCAAAGCACAGCTGAAGCTGTTCTGCCCTGTGAGTGTCCATTGTTGAGGGTGATACATGAGAACACCACTGGGCCCATCGATTAATAAATGATATCTTGAATTGTTGGAAAGCGTTATGCAACTACTTTTGAGACTGTGTTCAGTTTTATGTAACCGACAAAAACATACTGGGAATGTGGCCCACAGGAGGCGTCCAAGCTGAGTCACATTCAGAGCCAACGACTATTATAAGCTCTGAAACTGTTTGATCTAATGCTGAAGTTCATACATGTCCGCTGGAGTCTGCTGGAGTCGGGTCTTTTTGGGTCCATTTGCAGTTTATAGGTATTATTAGGATGTCAGTGCTTTTTACTTTTCGCTGTTGGATTAATTTCTTTATCTTGAGCATCTCTGTTGGTCACAGTCATCATTTACTGCAGCTAGCAGACTGGATTTGCCATCGAAGAGGCATCAAAATTATCACTCTGCATCTCAGAATGATTGTTTTCAGGCACCAGCTTAAGCTAGTGATGAGCTGATGTACCAAGATACTCCACATGTCTATTATACCCTTGAGAAACCACAGCCACTTTAAGTTCCCTGTTATCGGTTTGTTGAAGTTTATAATCAGGGCCATGAGGGTTTGTTGGGCTCGTTTCCAGGGGTGGTTACTTGTGGTTGGAGATGCATATCTTTCCATGTATCATGTTTCCCATTACTGATGTTCAGTGATTATGTTGTCACATGTATCAGAGCTGTATCATAAACAGACCATCTATTTTTCAGAAGCATTCTTTTTTAAATCTCAATACAATTTTCCCTGTGATTACTTTTTAATTGTTTTTTAATTGTTAGTGCTTGGTTTTAATTATCCAGCACTGCTTACATTTTTAAAGCTGTATTAAAACTCAATAATGTTCCAGTTCTTACAACAGCACTTGATACAAGTGGCCAGGGTATCAAAATCATAAAAATACCTTCAGTATAAAGAGTGGTAATAGTTTTTTCCATTTGGGTTGATTACTTTGCCTCCATATGACAACAAAAATCATGATTACAAAATATTCCAAACAAGAAATATATCAATGCACTGATGTCCCATCTGGGGGTTATGGTTATCACAATATCATGGTACAGCTTAAATGTTGAGAAAAGGTCCATTTAGTAGCTGTTCTGGAGGTTTTGATCATATCACATGATGTTTAAGACCTGCCTCACGGCCACCAAATTACATCACACACACACACACACACACAGTAATCAGGATTTAATGGCTAATTAAAGGGGCGCACAAGATATCAAGTATAGACTAAACAAAGGTAGGAATGTTACGTGCATGAATGGGAAATATTGTTCTTCTGTAATGTGATGGGTGGAGCCTGGACGGTTAATGAGTGTTCAGCCATTTTGGTGTGTGTGTGTGTGTTACCGTGCAAACACAGTCCCACTGCCCCCAGGGAAGGTGTATGGATGCTGCTTTCTGAAGACATGGCCAACTCTGCTGCAGGGGATGATCTCCAGACTACCACCACACTGCCACACACGAAATGAGATCTCTGAAACACACACACACAC